CACCGCTAATTTCCAGAGATAACGCCATTGCGTTTGCGTCATCAGCCAAAGATATTTCGAATATTGCAGATGAAATTCGGGAAAAATAGAGAAGATAATTGAAAGAAATTCTCAATAATTTTTTTCGGAGCGAAAAGAGATTCTGCCAGATTTTTCTTGCCATTTTGCTTCATGAAGTTCAGTCTTGAAGACTTGATTTCTCATTTTGATGAATAAGCTCTCGTTCGGTTGTTGGAAGTCATTGAATGGAGGGAGGGGAAAAAATTGGTGGACTGACGTAATTTCAACGCTCTTTCGGGCACTATGTTTTCAGAAAAGTGCTTACATCCGGAAAACGGACGCACACGCCATCACCAATACCATCACCAAACGGCCTCACATTGACGGTAGAGTGGAAAGTTCTAGGTGCCGACCTAGGCACAGTGCAATCGCAAATTGTTTGGTGGGTTCAACTCTTCATTTAACACGTGGAGATCGGACGACTCAACAAGCATTTTGTAATTATCTGTTCTTTGGCAGGGAAAATTCAATGATTGACGGAGCGAAAAATCTTTTAAAAAATAGGCTTAAATTCGTTGTGCATTCGGTTTTCAGGAATTTTTATCAGGATTCTAGTAAGAAATGCCATAATTCCAGCGTGAATTACAATATCCGTACTGTTCCACTCGAATTTTCGCTGGAAGTATGACATTTTTCCATGATTTCAGCGTAAATTACAATATTTGTGTTGAATTTTCGCTGAAATTATGATATTTTTTCATAATTCCAGAGTAAATTATAATATTTGTGTTAAATTTCGCTGAAATTATGACATTTTTCCATAATTCCAGCGTAAATTACAATATTTGTGATGAATTTTCGCTGAAATTATGAAATTTTTCCGTAATTCCAGCGTAAATTTCTGTTGAATTAAAAAATTATTTTCTTCCAATTTCTGTTGGATTTTCGCTAGAATTGTGGAATTGTGGAATTTCATTAGGAGAAGGTGGGAAAAAGTGGAGTTTTGTCAAAACAGGAAAAGAAACATTTTCTTGACATATTGAAGTAGGAATTTTTGTGAATGAAAGGAAGAGGCTCATAGAACTGTTGAAGGAACTGAATTATCCACGAAATTCCTCATTTTTCTGATATCCTTCATCTTCAGGGAGATTACACAAATCAAGATCATTTACCTTGAATATAAATTCTTTCAGAAATTCAGAGGTCCTTTTCATAGTCCAGAAAATTTTCCACCAAAAATTCTTTTCCACATTTTCTCCTAAAAACACTAATTACCGGCATAATTTCACTTTGCAGAAGATATTTAGAATCAATGTTGATCACAAAGATTCAACTTGGAATGCATTTTCCTCTTTGCGTCCATCTGAAATTTCGTCTTTTATGTTTATTCACATCATCCAGCTCACTTCTGATCTTTGTGAATGGCAAACATGATAAAACCAAGCGAATAAACCATTTCTTAATTTTTTTTATTTGAAGAAATAAATTTTTTCCCATAACTAAGAGGAAACGAAATATTTTCTTAACATTTTGGAGCAGGAATTTTAGTGAATGGAAAGGAGAGACTCATGGAATTGTTAGAGGAGCTGAATTATCCACAAAATTGAGAATTTTTTCTGACACCCCTTATCATCAGGGAGATTACATAAATCAGAATCATTTACATTGAATATAAAATCTTTCTGAAATTCTGAGGACCTTTTCAAATCCCAATAAATGTTCTACAAAAAATTCCTCCGACCATTTTCTCCTAAAATTACTAATTACCAAGATAATTCCATAATTCACAGATAATCATCACGCTCACTTCTCATCTTTTTCAGCGGCAAAAATGACAAAATCAATCAAATGAACGATTTCTTATTTTTTTATTAGAAGAAAATAAATATTTTCTTGGAATTTTGGAGCAGGAATTTTTATTAATGAAAGGAAGAGACTCACGGAAGTATTGGAGAAGTCGAATTATCCACGAAATTCATAATTTTTTCTGATACCCCTGATCTTTAGCGAGATCACACAAATCAGAATCATTTATATTGATATAAAATCTTTCCGGAATTCAGAGGTCCTTTTCATATCCCTGAAAATTCTCAACAAAAAATTCCTCTCCCCAGTTTCCCCTAAAATTACTAATTACCGAGATAATCCCATAATTCCCAGATAATCATCGCGCTCACTTCTCATCTTTTTTAGCGCCAAAAATGATAAAAATCAATCAAATAAACGATTTCTTGGTTTTTTATTAGAAGAAAATAAAAATTTTCTTGGAATTTTGGAGCAGGAATTTTTATTAATGAAAGGAAGAGACTCACGGAAGTATTTAAGAAGTTGAATTATCCACAAAATTAATCATTTTTTCTGATACCCCTCATCTTCAGCGAGATCACACAAAACAGAATCATTTACATTGATATAAAATCCTTCCGAAGTTCAGAGGACCTTTTCATATCCCTGAAAATTCTCAACAAAAAATTCCTCTCCCCATTTTCTCCTAAAATCACTAATTACCGAGATAGATCCACAATTCACTGGTTATAAGTGAATTTTCCTCGCACGACTGAAACATTCTCCCGAAAAATTTCATTTTATAATGGAATTTGATCATTCGTAGCAGATAATATCCTGAATGAAGCGGCTCAATTTATACGACTGTCAGAGGGGTAGAATATAATCCAATATTCCATTCAAACCATTCTGAAATTACGAGGAGGGAAACTTATGAATTCCTCTCTGTCACCAAATTTCTCGCTATGAAAATTCGAAGCCCCCTTCCGGTGCTAATAAAAGCCAGAATGGGGCCTTCGCCCCTTCGGTTCTTTGACAAAAACCCCCTCGCAACGTATATGGTCTATATTTTCCGTCATTATTTTTCGGGTGTATCATACGGGTACGACATGGAGAACTATTTTAGGCGACCATGCGGCAACACGCGCCGGTTCCTTGGCCACCCATGTTAACGGCGTTTCACAGTCACCGCCGTCACCTTCGAATGAGTCACGTCTACTTACGGTCCCCCACACCGGCCTTAACTTAATCATTTCTTTTGTCATTTATTTTTCATTTAATTGCTTTCATTCATTAACTTCCCGCCTGATTCAAACGCTTCGCGGCCAATTCCTTTTGACAATGAAAGTAAAATTGAAGAACAGAATTTAGTGTTGAAACAAAATGTTCTTAAATGTGGATTGAATCATCAACGTCACTGGGTTACATGTAAATTAATGAAAAATTTAGTTTGAGACGGTATTTTCCTCATTCGTAAGTCGGGAATATCTCCCAACCAGCTGATTTTACGTGAAAATTTCAGAAGAATTTTTCGTAGAGAAGAGTATTCTCCGCGAAAACGATCTTGTGACATTTTTTTGTAGAATTAATCGGGAGAAATAAACTTGTCGTATTGAACGTATTTTCGTCGTATTTTACGTATTTAAAAAATTTCTTTATCATAAATTATAATGAGTGAAACATTAATTTGAAAAATTATTTTCCTCATTCGTCACATTTCGTTTCAACTCGGTCAGGAAATCATCAGTCAAATTGAAATTGTAACGTTTTTGCTGGAAATTGTGTTGTTAATTCAAACACAATTTGTTTAAATTGAATTCAATCGCATTGGGATAAATTAAAATGACTGAAAAATTGAACTAAAATTATTTTCTTCTATCGTTAAATGGGGGTTATTTATTTTTTGTAACGAATTGAATTTTCTACAAAAAATAATTCTTGATATTTTGCTATGAAATTATCGTTAAGAAGAGAATTTACGAATGACCAAATCCACCGCTTTACAAGATTGTAAAATTATCGTTAAGAAGAGAATTTAAGAATAACAAAATCCACTGAGTATGACTTTACAAAACCCCCGAATTTTATGTTCATCGACTCAAACGCAACAACTGTATTGGGTTAAATGAAAATGAATGAAAAATTAAATTGAAATTATTTCCCCAACAGTTGATACCACGAGAAAATTAGAGAGAACATTTTTTGTAACGAATTGAATTCCCTACAAGAAATAATTCTTGATATTTTCCTATGAAATTATCGTTAAGAAGAGAATTTACGAATGACAAAACCGTCCGCTTTACAAGATTATAAAATCCCTGAATGCTATTTTTATTCACTCAAACCCAATAACGCAATAATTGCATTGGGTTAAATTAAAATGATTGAAAAATTAAATTAAAATTATTTTCTTCAATCATTGAATGGGGATCATTTCTCCAACAGTTGATACGATGAGAAAATTACAGAAAACATTTTTTGCAACGAATTGAATATTTTTAATTTATGGGATTATCGTTAAGAGAATTTAAGAATAACAAGACCCACCGAATGACTTTACAATATTGTAAAACCCCCGAATTCTATTCTCATCCACTCAAATGCAATAAATTTATTTTCCTCATATTTATTCTCCTCCCATTAAAATTAAAATGACTGAAAAATGAAACTAAAATTATTTTCTTCAATCGTTAAATGGGGATTATTTCCCCAACAGTTGATTCCACGAGAAAACTACAGAGAACATTTGTTCTAACGAATTAAATTTTCTACAAGAAATAATTCATAACATTTTCCTATGAAATAATCGTCAAGATGAGACTTTACGAATGACAAAACCCACCGAATATGACTTTACAAGATTGTAAAACCCCCGAATGCTATTTTCATCCACTCAAACGCAATAACTTTTATATTCCTTACATTCATTCTCCTCTCATTCGCCCGAACAATGACAACTAATCCCGTCTCATTCGAAAAATAACCGCTGATTGTCATTCCCTGACAGTCGTCACCCATTCTTTTATCAACCTCTCCATTCCCAACAAATAACATCAACAAGTCCCCGCAAACAGCCTATTCCCCCGGAAATCTGGTCAAAAATTTTCCACCACAGTTCCAAACCCTCGACTGCTTTGAAATTCGCCAAACAAAATATTACAATTTCGAAGCAATCGAATCCAACTAAAATCAAATCCACAAACTTAATTAATTACCTTGCAGCGTCTCCATTTTTCTCCTCAATATCCAGTCGCTCCATCTCCTTCTGGAGCATGCCCCCCTCGGCGAATTTATCCAACGACATTTTATCAATCCAATCACCCACAAAAAAACTGTGAAAATCAATTAAACTGCTCCAAAGTCACCACCAACTTGATAAACAAAAATTACTGGCCTTTCACACTTCCTCCACGATAAATAATATCTCCTCCCTTCTATATATACTATTTATATATAAATCTTTCTCTTCCTTAAACCGTAATATCCTTAATAAATATTAAAGGAGCTCAAATATTTCTATCGCTCAGCAATAATGCTCAACGACTGAGGTAGACTCAAACACTGGCACACACTTTAAATCCTTCCTCCAATATCCGACCGTTAACACTTGACTCTTCTTTGACGCAAACAGCCGAAAGGTAAGTCTCTCTTTAAATTTATTAAATTAGGATAAAAACTCTCTGAATAGGTTAATAATAAATATAATAAACCAAATTCGGGTAAAAAAAATAATAATAACAGGGGGGGGATGGGTTTGTCACGGGTACAACAACACCACTGGGGCAATACACTCCTCACGCGGGTTTAGCAACCGGCGACAGTTGTTACTAGAATGCCTAGCGTTTCCTCACTCCCTCTCTTCTTCGCCCCTCCTCCAGGTTTTCTATCTTTCCTTCGAGCCGGTCCGGGGTTCGGGGCTCCTCAGTCCGCGTGAAAACGCTCCCTTTTTCCCACTCCCCTTCTCTTCACTCTCGCACTTCACCGAATTTTCCTGGATTATTCAGACGATCAATTTGCTTTTTTTTTATTATTATTTTGGCGAGCTGTTGGTTAAACACAGATTGGCAGTGATTACTTATTCCAATTGTTATTGACGAACAATTTGATTACTCAACTCCACAATTACCACAATTAAAATGCACCACTGGGTTTCATTCAAATAATAAATGAAATAATAAGTCACAAGTTCATTAGCACGTAATTGTTTGAATTTTGAAAGAATGTCCGAGACCGAAAAACGTTGGGCTGCGAAAACCGCCCACACGATGCGTACTTAATTCCGTATGATACTGATGTGGAATATGAGAAAGGGGGGGATTGGTGGTGAATAAAAAAAAATACAACACCGACAGAAATTTTCTCTTCCTCGATTTTCGGTATACGCGCGTCACGTACATGCACGCGTGCGTACTGTCGGGGCGTCGGCGGATTCGAGCGGCGTCGGCGGAGAGAGTAAAATAAATTGAGAATTGGGTGGTGGTAGAAAAGGTTTAATTTCTGCTTTTCCTTGCGGGTGGTGGGGGTGTGGAATTTAATGAACTGGGATTATTGTTTTATTACTGTCGTGTGAAAAATTTGGATTGGGAGAAAATTGAGGAATTTTCAAAAAAAATTTTCTTCTCTTTTGGGAAATGAAAATTCAGCCGAAATGGGGATGATTTAACCAAAAATAAAAAAAAAATTGTCGCTTGCTGGTGGTGGCACAGCCGTGTGAAAACAGCAGCCGTGCTGTGGTTTAATATTGCCGGTATATCCTGTGCGAGAAAGCGCGGGTACACTGATATTATTTTTATAATCGTGGTGCGCAGCATAGTCGCATTAAGAGCGGGCATGGGGCTAGGCCGCGCCCAGTTGTGCCCCCACTATGGGTCACAGCCACCCGGTGTATCCCCACTTTTGTTGGATTTCGGGTGGACAACGGCGGCGGTCGGGGGG